ATTTCACTGGCCAAAAAACAAAAAAAAAAAGATTGCTCAATGATTTACGCAATCACGTCTGCTCCAGCCTCCAGCTATGATCTGAGGTGCACAGGGGGCAGAAAAAAAAACAGGAAGTGACCACTAACAGAACCTTACATCACATTGTGGATACTTTACGCCACCTAAAACACAGCAGGATAGCTTTTAGGCTTATAACCAAATCTCTGACTCTGTGTAATCAGACTTTGTAATGTTTGTCATTCAGTGAGAAAAAAATAGGCATTCCCGTAAGTTCTTTGATTACTTCTGGGTAATTATTTGCAGAAATCCATTAAGCAAACAAAACATTTCAGCAAGTCAGCTTGAGCTCTTTCCATCCAGAGTTTGGAAAAGATTGTTCACTTCAAACTCAATCAAAAGTGTGAAGATATTATTTTAAAAAAAAGATTGAATCTTCTAAAAGTATGGAGGAATGTCACCGTTACACAGTTTACAGATGTTTGTGTTTCGATGTCCTTGTAAAGGTTGGAAACAGCTGCCAAAAGACCGGCTAACAAATAATTTCTGACAACAACATGTTATGCAATGCAGGGTTTTTCCTATTTTACTCAATGTGGCTTCACATTAGTCATACTGTTGTTTTGAACACATGTTAAGTGTGTGTCTGCACATGTTTACATATTACACAAACTCTTTACTCAGTACAAGAGTCATCAAGTTGCACTGTTAACAGTTAAATGCATGGTGAAGGTTGGTAAAATAGCTCTCTGCCAATGAAAGGCGTCTGATCCAACTATCACAACAAGGCCCTAAGGGCGCACTCACACTAGGCAATCTGAAGCACGCTTCACCCCTAAAGTCCAGTTCGTTTGACTAGTGTGAGTACTCTGATCTGTGCTTAAGGTACATGGTATACTTCCTTGGCCCTGGCACGCTTGGAAGAGGTGTGTCAGGCACGGTACAGCTCATGCTGGCGAGCACACAGCATGGACAGCCTTCATTAAGGAGAAATCCCGGAGTTTTCTGTCTGTATCTGACTAACATGACTCAAAATAAAACACAAAGTCAGTAAAGCAGCTGTCATGTTCTCTGTGTTGTTCTCCACGTGCAGACTGTGTGTCTTTTTTTTTCTTTTTTTCCCAGTTCTTTATGAAACGTTCCCACAACATTGCATGATAACCAAGAAAGAACATTATCACAGCAAGATGCAGAACATGTTTAAACGATGTTATGGATGCTTCAGATTGGTCTGATGGGTTCAAATTTCACTAATGCCCCTGAGCCCAACAATCCATTCATGTGTTGTATTACGACATGATGCTCAGGCCCGTTTAGTCCTGGAGCAGTGTGAGTGCAGGCCAGCGGGGAATGGGGGGGGTGTTAATCCTGCTTAAGCACGGTACGGGAAAACTTTGCCTAGTGTGAGTGCGCCCTAAGTCTCTAACTAGACTCTTCTCCTCTGTCACCCCCTGGGTTGTGGAAAGAACTACCAACCTCCATTGGGTCTGCAGAGTCCCTTTGCGCCTTTAAGAAAAAGCTAAAGACCCAGCTCTTTATGAACACCTATGACCTTAATGATAATTATGATGATTTTGATGATGATGATAGTTTTGTTTGTTAATGACGCTATTTAGGATGGTATTGATATTGATTAGAACTCTGAAGAACAGCTGTCGATGTTGTGTTTGGCCTCTGGTCACTTCCTGTCAGCACCCTTGTGTCCGATCGGACTTAAAGCTGTTTGTTTGTATTGATGTGGTTTCCTCCTCTCTATGTCCTTGCTTGTGTTGTTCTTACTCTCTTATGTTCTTCCCTTTTGGATAAAAGTGTCTGCCAAATGAATTGTGGAATTGTGGGAATAAGATTGCACATTCATAAGGATGGTTTAAAAACATAAAAATGTGTTTTTCAAAGTTAAAAAAAGTGTTTAAAAATGTTTCAAATTCTTAAAAAGAGTTTGATTTACACAGTTTAATTAATTGTTTTATTGAAAATGCAGTGAAGTGGATCTGTGATGGGAAAATATATCTAAATCATCTGAAAATGATTCCTTCTGTCTCAAAGTCTGTTCCAGAAACTGCTCAACAGCGCCCCCCTGAGGCCGCTGCACAGGGACCCCACACCTCAGACTGTGCTGACGGAAATCACATCACGTTTTCAACCAGAGGCACTGAAGCAGTTTCTTTTCAAACAATCAAAGGTGAACTATTCAGAGGTTGGCGTCACTTTATTTCTCTGTCTTACTTCAAAGCAATTTCAACGCTGATGGACTTTCATTGACAGTTTAGCAGAGCAACGAGAGTGAGTGCTGTCAGATGGGGCCCCCTTAAGGAGGATTCTTACTGTCATTGCCAAATGTGCACATTATAGGCCACTGCTTGGATTTAAGTTTGTCTGCCCTCAGAGGCCCCCTTCTGGTCCGTGGCCCCAAGCAGTCGCCTGCATGCCTTGCCTTTTGACAAGCAGTGCTTCTGGTTGCTGGATCATTTTGACCTCTTCAAGCCTTTATCTCTTCATAATATTTACAGTCTATGTATCAAACCCATTTTCTGGAGCGAAACATAACAAATCATCAAAAAACAATATTTATATGATTTAAGATCATGTTTGGGGTTTTTTGGCCATTATTTGGCAGGACAGATAGAGCGAGAAAGGAAACGTGAGTAGAGGGAAAGAAAGGCTCCAAACAGCCTCTGTAGGTGGGGTATCTTCAGACTGAGCTAAACCAGCACCCCCTGTGGGGATATATTAATATATACAGTATATAAATAATCAGAATCAGATTTATTGGCCAGGTATGCTTATGCACACAAGGAATTTAACTTCGGCGAACAAATAAATGCAGACTATATACATACAGCATATCATATGTGCTAAAAATAGTGTCCTCAGCTTTCAGTTCATAATTCTCATCATGATTTGTGGTTCAGTGTTGTTCAGAGAACAGCTGGAAGATAACTGGAGAAACAGAGGCGGATTCAAGTCCCACAGGACCATACACACACACACACACACACACACACACACACACACACACACACACACACACACACACACACACACTGCTCTGTTCCCACTGGGGTCTAATATGCTATTTATGGATGCACTTCCTGTAGGCCTACAGTACACTAATGGTGCATTCATTGTATGATGAAAATATCTCCTGTATGGATTCTAAGGTTGAACAAAGAAAACATGTGTGGACTATAAACAATCCTTCCTGCATGTGGCATACAAATACATTTAGACTCTTAAATATTTAGTGGAGGAAGATCCAAACCATTACTTTCTGATACTGGCCCCTTTAGAGACCTTCCAAATGTCTCCACTAGAGGGCAGGAACGATCCACAAAGATGCTGCAGCAGCAAGCTGGGGTGCAAGATGTGTAAAACGGCAACTTTATAAATAAATAAATAAATATATGAATCAATTGGAATATTTTAAATTACAGATTTTCTATTATTAATGCCTGACTGGACAAGAATAAAAATGGAGTCCAGCTGCTTTCATTACTTCCAGTGAGCACATTATTGACCTGAACTCTCCGCCTCATCCTGTTAGTTTTGGTTGCTTGTTAAAAAAAAAAATATATATTTATATAATGCAGGAGAAAAAGAAAAGGAGCCAGTGATTATTTGGCTCTGACCTTTACACTGTTTATATGTTTAAAGGAGCACTTTTTCTATTTTCTGTTCAGGCAACATTTAGTCGCCCTTTTGCACAATGAGGGAATGAATGGAAAAATACTTTTTAGGAGATTTCCCCCCCACACTCTCTCTTACTGCTTTATGAACCACTAAATAAGAGACATCAATGAAACACGAGTGAAACAGGTTTCCCTCTGTTTGATAATTGGTCACACATTTCAAGACTTAGACAAAAAAGTATCTGACTTACCAAAAAACCATAACCATAGTGCATCATTTTTAAAAATGTTTCTGTTACTTTAAAATAGCTTAATCTTTACAGGCCATAACATCTACATGAGTAAGAAGAACATGTAAAAGATAAGTTTAGGATAACTTCCAAATAGTTTATAATTTAAATATAATGTAAAATATACATTCATCCTCTGAAGATTGTAAAAGAAAAGGATAAACAATTTGAGATAATTGTGTGCAACATTTTAAACATAATTACAGCAGAAATCAAGTATATCCTCTGAGTCATGACTGTCTACAATGAGTGAGAAGCTTGAGTCCTTCTGGCTTTGTCGTTGTCAGAGCCGTGTTTACATGGATGGGGCGGCCTTGTGTACAAAGCTGTTTGAGTCCAGGAGAAAAGGAGAAGAACATACTCTCTGATTATTTGGATGTCATGTTAGTGTCTTTAGATCACAGCCTTTCTGTGTCAATTTATGTGCAATATGAAGCTACAAGCTAACCAAAGTATGCTAACATTAGCCTGCTTAAACAACAAAGCTAACCACAGGTGATTGCAGCTCGAGCAAAGGACAATTTTGTTCGCTGCTTGTGCTTAATGGTGCTTAATCATGGTGCGTTTGATTGATAACTCCTGCCTGTGAACGCGAGTGGAGAGTGGTTGGAGGTTTGACGCTCCTCAGTGGATCTGTGTGCCATGTTTCGGAGCAGTTAGCATGTTGTCTTTGGCACTATGATAATCTCAGCCTTTTTATTCAACACGATGAGCATGAATGTTTAAATCCACAGCAGATAAACAGCTGAGCTCTCCCTGAAGATTTTAGCTTAATGCAATTGATTTACAGTGAGCACATACATTTTTTTCTGTCGCAGGTTCATGAACTGTCCGTTTGTCAGCCGTGTGCGAGATTTCCTTCACAGCACCACAAAGGCTATCACGTGAAAATGAAGGATTGTCTTGCGAAGCTTCGTCTTTCTGTAGCTGTTATTGGCTTTCTACAGTCGATACTCGTTGCTGTTCCAGTGCTCCTTCTTCTTTGAATCTCACGCTTCTGTCAAAAACAAAGATCCTGTTAAAACACACGGCTGACCGACTCAATTCACATCCATCTCGTCTCCACTTTGAGCCGTGCTGC